GCAAGCCAAGAGTAGAATTTATTTTTAGGTTTTTTGTCATGCCCTTTGCGTCACTACACTTAGATATAATACAAATACAGTAGTTAATACAAACTTAAAGTTGCACATGTTTTAGAATTTTACTGATATCCTTGGTACATAGGCCCTTATTTATAAACAATGTTTTATAAGTTGCTTGTATATAAAACAGATGTTCTCTGTGAATAGGCTGAACAAGTAAAATAGACACTAATATTTTATTAAAAGCAGGATATACTGCCTTTTAATGCCTTTGCATAGGCAAAAGGACTTTTTTCTACCAAAATTTTTGCTGATGCTCCTTTTTACAGGAAGGAAGAAAGAAATATATGTGGAGGCAGTAGAGTAGATGTGCACATGTTATTGAAAATGTATTTGCTTACTTCCTCTCCCTTTCCCTAGGGGAAAGGGAACCTTTTAACCTTTTTTACATTTAGGACGTCTAACAGTGAATAGTGTGGCACTGCAGGATAATGTGCTGGACCATAAGATCAGTTTGAATCGCAAGGCCAGCGGTTCAAACCCACCAGCTGCTCCTCAGAAACCCTATACAGGGTCTCTGGGCGGAACTGACTCGATGGCACTTAACAACAACATAGTGAATGGAAGTCTCAAGAATTTAAAGCAACAGCAGGTATGTAATTTATACCTGTTCATCAATTACTATACATTTCAAATAGAGAAGTCTGGGGACTATGGGAGTGGGACTCAGAGAAGGGCATTGAGTTCTAGTTAACGGATAGGAAATATATGTTTAGGTATTTAAATGGAAGCTGTTCGCTTAAAATGTAGCCTGTTTCCAGTGATCACCAGTTTCATTTTTAAAATGCTCACCAATCTTTTTAAGTTCAGCTCTAAAATCGTAAGTGAACGGTAACATATTGACCATGTTGCTATTGTAGACATTTAGATATTTGCACATGTACACCACCACACACCCTGATAGGCTTCTTGGTAAGGAGAAATTTGGTCACAGCATTATATAATAAAGTTCAGAGTTTTATGAATTGGCAAAATGAAATTTAATAGCTCATTTAAGAAAGCTACTTCCACTGTAACTCATTTGAATTGGAGGCACTTAAGTGTGTGTTTCAATATACACATGCTGTCAGTCTTCTCCCTGACCTGTGTTAGTCTTTACAAAGAGGTTACATTCTTTAAGCTCCAGCTTGAAAGGGTTCTTCATGGCATTACCTGAAGTTGACTTACCTTCTTAAAGCTGAATTCTTTTTCACATAACAAATCAAATCAGATCAACATGGAAATGAATCATGTAAAATTATATGAACAGCTTCAAGCTGTTCTTTTTATTCTGTTTCTGATGTAACTTCTGAGACTCAGCTTGAAACTCGGTCAACAGTGTTAATGACATTGGCTGCCCCTGACAGTTCTTGTTAGGAAGGATAGGTATTACTAGCGAGAAGCTTTGGAAAACATTCCTAAAATGCATTATAAGATGAATTTTAATAGTAATAAAAAGACTCAAAATGATGGCAGTGGAAAGTGGATTTTGTAGTATAGTTAATTGTGCAAAAGAGTGAGAAAATTCAGCCGCCTGTGTTGAGCCTGGAGTTCTCGTGTGACGCTGTGGGTTAATGTGCTGGATTGCAAGGTTTGTTTGAACTGCAGGGTTGGTGGTTCAGGTTCACCAGCCGTTTCTCAGAAACCCTATACAGGGTCACTATGGATCAGAACAAACTCGGCACAAAACAACAACAATGTTGAGCCTACTAATAAAAATGAGTTGTTGATATATGTACTTATAGATATTACACATATCAATTTAACATACTGTAATTTTTCTCAAATGATTTTACCTCCTCCTTGAAGGAAATAGAGCTTCAGGAATTAAGAAACAGCGATTCTTGAAGCTTCCCTTCATACCCTATGGCGTGTGCAAAGGAAAAGCCATGCAGTTATCTGTTTCTCACCTTTATAAAAACATTGCCTGCTGCTTACTGGCACATAAACAAGCAAAAATAATTTTTAGCTTTGAAGTCATTTTTATTTCTTCTGAGAAATAAATACTTTGAGAATAATACAAAAGGATTAAAAATTATTTTTTTCTCAACTATTGTTAAGTGCTGTCGAGTTGGTTCTGACCTGTAGCGACCCTGTATAGGGTTTCTGAGGAGCAGCTGGTGAGCTTGAACCACCAATCTTGGAATTCAAATGGCTTTGCAGTCTGGTGCATTAACCCACAGCGCCACATTAGGTACACTAAAAAAAAATGCAAGAGATTCACCTGCAATCTTTTGGTGCTATGTGTGAAATGGCAATCTTTTTCTAGGTATTTTATTTTTAGGTCTATCAGGAGTCCTGGTGTGGTGCTGTGGGCTAATGCAAGTCATACGTGAACTTAAAATGGTTTAAGATGGAAGGCTTGTTTAAGATTGGACTGCAAACTGTAGTAAGGTCAGTAGTTTTATAATCTCCTGACATTTTATAATCTCCCTAAGGGAAAGTTAAAAGGGGGTATAACTCCTCTTTTTATTTGTAGCCATCTGAGGTACACACTGGTCAGAGGTACACACACCCAAGCAAAACTAGGATCAAGAGCCCTAATTGGTAGAAGAGAATCCAGGCTTTTAACTACTTAGACCATACTTTATTATTATTATTATTAAAGTACATTTACTCTTAGTACTTTTGATTTATGTTTTTAAGTACTGCCACGGTTTAATAAACTGGTCAGTCCTCACAAATTACCAATTTCTGAAAAGAAAGATTTATGAACTCTTTGTTAAATACTGTGGAGTCGCTTCCGACTAATAGTGACCCTGCATAGGGTTTCCGAGGCTGTAATCTTTACGGGAGCAGAACGCCTCATCTTTCTCCCACGGAACCACTGGTAGTTTCGAACTGCCGACCTTGAGGTTAGCAGCCTGATTTCGTAACCAGTATGCTTTATGAACTCTTTATAGACATGAAATACAAATATTGCTCAAGTTTTAGTAGGCCTTTTTGGTGGATCTCTTTATAGACATGTTGCTAAGTGCCATCGAGTCAGCTCTGAGTCATGGTGACTCTGTATAGAGTTTCCGAGGAGCAGCTGATGGGTTTGACTGCCAACCTTGTGGCTCACAGTAGAGTATAAATATAATAGCTTTTGCCTTTTGTTTTTGCATGGTGAGGTGTAACATTTTATTTTAGCTAATAAGTATCAGAGCTCACAGGATCCAAAATACTATTATAGTTTTCTGGCTACAAGTGTGAATGGACAGTAGTAGTTCAGATTAACATGCAGACATCTAGGGATTTCATAGATTTAAATGAAACATCTGTGGTCATCAAATCTCAGTGTGGAGTTGTTTATTTACTTATCCATGTATACAGGCTTTTAAGAGTTGACTCTACCATTTACATGAAAATTGATACCAGTATATACGATTAGGATAAATCAAAAAATCAATCTCAGTAATAATAAGGCACAACCTGAAAATGTAATGTATTTATGGTTTTTAAGAATAGAAGGGGATATGATTCTCTCCCTCCCCCCGCCCCCTCCATGAGTAACAGTAAAGAGTTTTAACCATATAGCACTCTCTCCGTTTAATTGACTTCTACTGTTACAGACGTGAAATGAAATTGTCTTTCTCAGTTGTGGACAGCTCCTCTGTTATTATTCCATAGGAGGGTTTCTCAAAGTAGGATTCTTGAGCCCCTTCAGGTGGTTTGCGAGTTAGGCTAATGTTTGTATAATTAGACTATTACTTTTGTGCCTGGCATGAACCAAAGCTTTACTGATAGAGATTTAGAGATGCATTCATATAAGTTTCCTTTTTGTGTATGTCTGATAAAAATATTTTTGGTAGTTAAGCAGATAAGGAAAAGTGGTCTCCAGGGTATCAGTGCTTCCACAGATGCACAGGACTATCCGCTCTAGGGCACAGCAGCAGCATTTGGATGGCGCTTTGACCTGGTCTCACATACTCCGACAGAACAGGGAATCAAGTCCTTTTGCTTAGGAATGCTGCCATGCCTCACACGTAACTTAAAAAAAAAAAATGCTTTCCTAACATGGTGATGTGTTGGCACAGTTATTACCAGGAAAGACAGTGAATCTGAGAATGGAGGAAAACAGAAAAGCAGAACAAAATGGGAAGAAAAAAAAAGCTACTGCATAAGTACACAGGTAAAATTGAACAGATTTCCAATTCATTTGCATGGAAATACATCTCATCTGTGAAAACCAAGTTTAGAACTTCCATTGCAACATGTCAGGTCAGCCTCTGTAAACAGCAAGTATTCCTAAGTCATTGACACCCAGAGGAGAAAGTCTTGGCTTTACATCTACATTTGAGAGTTATAAAAATGATGCTATGTAGATTTCAGCAAATTTGTGTTCCCTATAACCTAGGATCACCCGATTAAGGAGAGAAAAGTTAGGTGAGCAGTGCATTCATACCTCTCCTTAGGATCACACAGGGTGCTTTTTAAGTCCAATGGCCCAGTCTGTTCTTACTAGTAAAAACATTGCAATTTGGTAGCTTTGTTACTGAAATGGTTAGAAGTTTTTGGCTTAAAACATAATAACATTTATGCCTAGGAGTTGGATATGTTTGTAGGCTTCGATATATCATTGCTGCTTGAAAGTTAATGGAAACTTTTTAAAGTAAGAATTGATATCTTGAGTTTCAAACCCAGTAGGAAACCTCACACACAGTTTTTTTTTTTTTTTTTTTGCACTTTTAATAGGATGATTTTTCTTAAGGCATGAGGTATATTAATAGGATGCTTGCATCTCTGAATCTGTATGGGTGTTTTTTTTTTTTTTTTTTAAATCACACTCAAAGCACTCTGAACATCTGTATTTGTTTGAATGAATATGTACACATTTTTCTCTATACTATGGGAAGTATTCACTGTGGTTTTCACAATGTCAGATGAATCAGCACAATTGAAAGCATCAAAGTGAAGTTTCAGTTAGTTGTCTATGAATTTTCTTTTCCAAGTAAAGAATGTCTTTCCCCATGCTGAATCAAAGAACTCCTTTATTTCAGTTCCCTCTCCCCTTACATGGTCCACAGCGACAAGGTAAGGAGACATCTACGACTCCGACTATGACACACGTAAGCAGCTAATTCTGACTACATTGAAGCAGAGCACACACACTGGAAAAGAAGCATAAGGAGGTATACGAGAACCATGCATCAAAACCTTATGCAACCAAATCTGGGCCTCGTGTTTAATCACTCACTGGGATGATATTTTTTCTTCTTTTGAAAGAATACGATGAACCCATGCTCAAAACCTTTCTACAGCATTTTGAAAATAACAGTGCTTTTTTTTTCAAGTTGGCACAGAATGAAAAATGACATTTGGTCTCTGATGTGTGAAGGAACCATCACCTCTCCCCCTCCTTGGCTCTGGGTTCCCAAGAAAGAGACGTGAGTAGGCAATAGGCTCAGGGCCCAGGCTGGGTCACATTGCTCTTGGTTTTCAGAATGGTGTCCTCGTAATTGCTCGTTGCAGGGACAGTGGTGGCCTCCAAAGGCAGGCCCTGTTGCTGATAGCCATAGCTGACGTTTCCACATGGGAAGTGGCGCAGCCTGAACAGAGGCACCTCCTTGACGCTGGTTGTCAGCGAGGACGGCTCCAGTAGCAGCGAGGCGCCCGCGAGTCTCCCGGCCGCGGCGCTGGGCGGCGCCCCAGTACAGCCAGCCTCGCGAGCCACGCTTCCCCTCTCGGGCTGCTCCTTCTTCGCTGCTATTGGATTGTTCATTGGGGCCGGTTTCTCTGCAAACCACGAGCCGTAGGTTGGGTTCCATAAGCTGGTCGTTTTGTTTCTGGATGCCTGGATTTTGTGCACCTCCGACGGGGGGTTGGATTGAGAGAACGCCATGTTAACGTGTCCCCCTTCTCCCGCCGGGCCTCGAGGGGCTCTGCCGGTGACTGCCGTCGCCAAGGCTGGCTTTCTCCCGGCTCTGCGGGAGGAGGAGGCGGGTGGAGGAGGGGGCGCGGACTGCTGGTGCTCACCCTTGCGTTTTGCTTGTTGCGGAGACACTAAGAGAGGAGGAATTCCCTCGGGGTCTTTAGGCTTCATGGGCACTTTCTCTTCCTCTTCTATAAGTGGACCGTATTCTATTGGCAGCGAGGTATTGATTACATCTGGATCCTACCAGTAGGAGAAATGAATCGATTAGAACTCAGATTTGCAGACCAAAGATAAGGGACCTCGTCCAAACTTATTTTACAGTGGAGGAAAGCTTTCAGTATTTATTGTAAGTGTATTAATTTGTAGATACTATAACAAAAAATTCAAGTCACTGTTGACATTGAAGCGATTCCATCTCACAGTGATCCTTGGGACAGAGTAGAACTGTCCCACTGGGTTTGCCCAAGCACCAGCAAGGCTCAGTCTTATCCCCAGAGGATAAGAAATCAATGTAAAATCATCATTTCCTTGATGTGTGTAAGGGACACCGAATTTTAAATTACAAATTAATTTTAACAATTACTATAGTAGGATAAGCACTGGACACCAAGGTCATTTTGAAACGACAAAGTCGTCGGCAGTTCAGACTCACCAGTTGCTCCTCGAAAACCCTATACAGGGCCTATATGAGTAGGAACCTGCTTAACAGCACTTAACAACATGTAAAGGTAGACGTTTAATAGCAAGGAAGGGAGGGAAGGGAGTGATTAACTCTTCAGCCTATGCACGGAGGTCCCTGGGACCATCAATGGAGAAGCAGTGATGCCTGAGATGGAGGCAGGAGAGGAGGGGCGAGAAGAGCCGTGGAGTTAGTTCCGACTCATATATAGCAACCCTGTACAGGGTTTCCGAGGCTGTAAATCTTTACGGGAGCAGAAAGCCTCATCTTTCTCCCGCTTGTGTAGAGATATATAAATCATAATACCTGCAGGTTATGGAGTTCCAGTTTCAGATATATGTACTTACTGCTTATCATTTCATTTCATATCATATGCTATCGTTTCTCCAGCCAGCCTACAAACTATAAAGAGCAGAGGCATCCTAAACTACTCTGAAGCTACAATTTTGTCTAATAAAATACTAGTGTCTTCTAGGGACTAATACTTGCCACTGAATTGATTCTTTAATAATGATTGTGTGTCTGACATGTGTCTTAATGATGCCTTTGTTTTATGAAATGTATTCCCTTTACAGATTCATACTCACAACTTGTCATCTAAAGACTTTTCCATATGGAGTAAATGCAGGCCAGAGGGGGGATATGTTATACCTGGGTGCAGTATTCAATCCTTTCCAAAATTATGGCAAAGTTGGGCCTATCTTCAGGCTGATGTTGCCAGCACTGAGTCATTATCCGGTACCTAAAGGAGGAATAATTACATTTTGAAATTACATTTGAAAATCAGGAGAAACACGTTTTCCTGCCGAGCATTTTTCTAAATGCACCATTGGATGGATGGACACTTGTCTTTGAGGGGTTTTATTTGAACTAGGACTCCTCTCATTCTGTTCCTGAACTAAAGCCACTTTGGGACAGAATATTTAAATGGTATTTTCCATCTGCCTTGCTTGTGGGAAAGAGGTGAAAGATACCAGACAGGACTGCAGAGACTGAGTTTGGGTTGGGACATCATGCCTCCAGCCAGGCAATGGATCCCGTTCCTAACCCATCTCATTAAAGTCTCAGATACATAGATACATTTCTATTGAGGCATGTTATATAAAGTCAGGCATCTGCCTTCAAATTTTAAAGAAACATATGTTGCTTGTAAGTATCTTTTGAAAAGAAAAGAAAAATATACTGTAAAACTAGTCGAAATATTTGTAAAAGAGTCATACACAGGCCCAGGACAGTTCTTAGGTGGATCCATGCGTCCTCCGCTGGTCACAAACTCCAGGACTTCCTGATTGCTTTTGCTAGGGTATGGCATATATCCAAGGGAAAATATTTCCCATAACAGCACACCAAAGGACCTGTGCACAGGACAAAGGAAGATATGGAGAAAAGTAAAAAAAATAAGTCATATTTAATATGCAATTTTTAACCTTAGTTTCCCATTCATTATAGCATAAACATTCTTTACATTAATACATACATTTTACAAATAAAACTTGAAATGACTGTAAATCATTCCATTGATTTTTTTTTGTCATAATTTGCCGACCAAGCTCTTTATTTTCTTCAGCAAGATGGAGCTCTATCAGCAACAACACAGAACTCTGAACCACATATAAAGTAATATTTAGAAGGTTGGAAGGCATACAGCTGGGGGAATTTGTGGTAGAAGCAATAAATCCATTGCTTTCTAGTTCGGGACACTCAGCTGCTCCACGAAGCCGCCATCTTGCGTGAGACCAAGTTGGGGCAGGATCAGAGCAGCCACAGACACCTGGCAGAACCGCGGAGATAAAGGTATGGATATTCTTTTCTTTTGGATTCTGTTCATTGGTCCCTTGCTGTCTGCGCACCTCCATTCTGGTGACTATAGGGGGTGCCTGATCTAGTGGACATCCCAGTCCCACCCTCAGAGGGTTCTATTCATGCGCACAGATCTCCTGTAAAGAGACAGTTTCCACTTAAAACCAAACGGCCACAGCCAGCCCTGAACTGTTTACAATTAGCAAGAAGGCCTGAATGGGGATTGTGGAACAGGACACGCAGACAAAAGAGGAAACAGGCCAAAACGTCGAACAGTGACATCTTGAAATTTCTCAAGAAGAAGAGTGGAAAAGGGAAGCCCATTTCCTGATCACGTCTACCTGGAGGCAATCAGTTGAGAAAAATAAGAAGTCAGGAAAGTGCTACAGGAACAATAAAATAAGATAAATACAGCATTGGAAACAATTCAAAACCTACAGAGAGTGGGCCAAAGGAGTAGAATTGAAGAGAGGCCTAAGATTCATGTTGGATAACATGAAGAGGAATAACACAGCATTGGAAACAATTCAAAACCTACAGAGAGTGGGCCAAAGGAGTAGAATTGAAGAGAGGCCTAAGATTCATGTTGAATAACATAAGAATTATTGACATTCCAGAATAGGAACAATCACATGAGTCCACAGAGGAGATAGTTGAAGAGCTTCTGGAAGAAAAATTTCCTAACATCATGAAAAGTGAAAAGATAAGTATTCAAGAACTCAACAAACCCCAGGATGGATAGACCCTAAAAGACATATAATAATCAAGCTCTCCAAAATCAAAGATAAAGACAGCATCTTGAAAGCATGTAGGGACAAATCAGATTAAGCTCAGATTTCTCAACAGAAATCATGCAGGCAATGGGGAGAATATATAAAACCCTGAAAGAAAGAAAACTGCCACCCAAGAATCCTCTACCCATCAAAGCTGTCAATCAAATACGATGGTGTAATCAAAATATTCCAGGATAAGCAGAAGGGATTTTGCCAAAACCAACCCTGTTATGAAAAACATCCTAAAGGAAGTTCTGTGGACTGAGAACCAGCAAGAACACATAACAACTACAGAATGACGTACATGGCAGCATCAACCTGAACTAAGTCGACAAATGAAGAGTCAAGAAGAGAATAAAATTATAAGAACAGAGGATCTGGGAGGTCAGTCTATGATCAAAACAATTACAATGTGAAAAAAGGTAAACACAGAAGAACAGAGATCCAGGTGGTGGGAAGGTCAGGTAGATTACTGGATAGAATAGACTATCTTAAATGGAGGGAAGAACTAATGGAATATAAGGTAACCACAAAGGGGGTGGGGTGGGGGGTGTACTTTGGGTGTTGGGGAGGACACTGGTCACCTAAAATGAGGGGGCAATAAAGGCACAAAGTGATTGATTTACAAGGTTTCAAGAGGAAGTTTAAGAGTATGGGAAAGAGTCCCCACTGAATAGCTGTCATCTTGTCTAGATGGATCTGTTATCATGACTAATCGCGACTAATCGCGACTGTCACAACTGAGGTAGAAGTTTTGTAACAAAAAAAGGGGAGTGATTAATCTTACAGTCCAGAAACAGAGGACCCTAGGACCATCAAGAGAGAAGCGTGCAATCACAATGCAGCAAAGGTAGAGATGGGGGTATGAAGAATGGGGTTTTTTTGTTTGTGTGTTTTAAAAAGCTAAAGTGGATAGAGAGACCTACTGTTAACTGATGGTACATGGAGGAGACTATAATCATTGCAATGAAACAAGGGATATGATTTGTTGAATGTAAAATTGATGATATGCCCTGTAAACTTTCACTCAATCCATAATAAAAATCTTAAAAGAGTAGTGGCTGTATATCTTTGTAGTGAAGCTAATAGTTCGAAAGTTTAGCACCCCAACTTGTAACCATTACGCTACCCGAGATCCTTCTCAACATCATTAGCCACAGCAAAATGTTAAATCAAAACCACAATGAGCTCTCACTTCACACCATAGTTAAGGAGTACTTTAAGGATAAGCACCAGTCTGGTAACTCAGCAGCACTTAACACAACAGCATGGCTGATGGCTCATATATATGTAAAAACAAAATATGTGTTGGTGAGGATGTAGACAAATTGGACCCCTGTACTCTGCTTATAGTAATGTAAAATGGTGCAGTTCAACAGGGCTTTCTCCTCTCTATGTAGTACTGGGTGGGGATGAACCATCAACCTTTGTTAGTAGACAATCACTTAACCATTTCACCAGGGTTCCTCAGTATTGATTGCCTCCTATGTATACATCCGAAAGAAATGAAAACAGATGCTTGTACCCCAAAGTTCAGAGCAGCACTATTTACAATAGCTACAAGACAGAAATGACCCAAATGCCTGATGCTGCCGTTTTGCCAATCCATCTCACTGGGGGTCTTCCTTAGAAGATTTTATTGAGGGATTGTGTTTATTGCAATGCAATACACAACATTTCTTATGAGAAAATGCAAAGTATGTAATGAAATATCATTCTAACTGGTTTTGATAATACAGTAAATGAGCATATTCTTTAAAACAGTAAGTCTTTAAGCAAAGCACTGCTTAAAAGAAAGAACAAGGTTGGAGGTCTCTCACTCCCCGATTTCAGACTTTACTATATGGCTACATTGCATGGGGAAGAGACAGTCTCTTTAACAAATGGTGCTGGCAGAACTGGAAAGCGATATGTAAAAGATTGAAACAAGACCTTTTCCTCATGCCCTATAAATGTGAATATAAAGAATAAATGCTACTATAGGGTATATGCAGACTACCACACATTTTGAAAAAATCTTTTGCAACGACATATTGGATAAGAGAGTCATTTCTAAAATATATAGACAAATAACCCAGTTAAGAAATGGGCACAGGACATAAACAGACACTTCACCAAGGAGGATATCCAGGCAGCCAACAAACATAAGAAATATTCACGATCACTAGCCATTAGAGAGATGCAAATCAAAACAACAATGAGATATCATCTCACACCAGCAGTAACAGTGAAGATCAAAAAAGTTGAGGACAATAAATGCTGGCGGCGATGTGGAGAGACTGCATTGCTGGCAGCATTTCAAAATGGTCCAACCTCTCTGGAAAGCAATATGGCGCTTCCTCAGAAGGTTGAAAATAGAAATACCTTATGATCCAGCAATTCCTCTACTTGGTATTTACCCACAAGCAAAAAGAGCCACAATCCGAGAAGATATATGCACACCAATGTTCATAGCAGCACTATTTACAATAGAAAAGAGATGGAGACAGCCAAAGTGCCCATCAACTGAAGAATGGATAAACAAACTGTGGTACATACACTGTGGTACATACACACAGTGGAATACTATGCTACCTTGAAGAATAACAAGGAAGCTGCAAACCATCAGTTAACATGGATGAACCTTGAGGACATTATGTTGAGTGAAATTAGTCACAACAGGAGAAATACCACTACTAAGAAAAGAAAAAGAACCCATACTAAAGGGGGCTGGGGGGATTCTTTGCTGATTGCTGGGATATAGGGGGTGGGTGAGGGGAGGGACAGAAAGGTAGAGCACAGGGCAAGGAATAGACACAGGTTAGTTAAGGTGCTGGGGAGGGGGACAATACCCAAAAGGGGAGAGGGAAATGCAAGAACAAAGCAAGAACAAAGCAAAGGGGAGATCAAGTAGGCAGGTTTGCATGGGCTAAGTGGGACAGAGGTAAATTATAATGTATACACAACCTTGGAACAACAGGGCGAGGGGGTACACGGAGTGAGATATGGTTGGAATAGAGAAAAGGGGGAAATAATGTTAAGATGCTTGGCGGTCTACTGCATCTTGGTTTTCCTTGCATTACACTATAAAATAGACACTAGAAGGGGAGAGAAAGGAAAAGCCAGAAATATCACCATAGAAAGCTTGTAAGTTCGTCTTCTGCCTATAACTGATTGGAATACCTAAAATGGGGATACAACGTGCCCAGTGAAGGAGGCTGCCTGCGAAGCCTCTGCAATACATAAGACTATAGGTGGAATCCTGAACAGCATCCAGAATCTTCAGAGGTGGGAAATTTCCCCCTGAGAGGACAGGCAGACCAGCCTGGAGTGGCTAGAAGAACAGAAGGTACCTCTTGAAAGAAAGACTGACAGGAAAAACACAATACAGGCCAACAATGACTACAAGAACAAGCAAGTTGCCCACACAGGAGACATCAAAGCAAGGGGTCGGGCCCCCTCAGAGTAAACCCCCTTCCACCCCTGATGGGTGACCACGTTCACCACTGACAAGGGGAAGAGAGGGAAAAACAGCTATGAGGCTGCGAGCTAAGCCCTACAATGGTCAATAGACTCCTGTGAACCCAGGTGGAGACCTGGTAGGCCAGTAGTGTGGCAAGACCTGGGAACTCTTGGGACCAGAGTCAGTGACATAGCCATGGAGGACTGGAGTGGAGGGTGAAGTGTCCAGCGGTTAAGAAGAGAGGGAATATCCACAAGAGCAATCACACATGCAGATAATACCCATTTGACCTAGCCTCAATGACTGGGTGATCAGAGCTCAACTAGAACAAGAAAGAAGA